AACTAAAAACAAAAAGCATAAAAAGACTGGTTGAAACTAAATTTTAAGCATTATTTGTGGACCCTGGTGCATTTCAATTTGTTCATGAGAAAGTATAAGGTTATCCTTACAAGTAACTCTCCACTCCAGCATTTTAAGAAAAGTCCTGACTGTTTCAAGGCCAGAGAACCTGGAAGTTATGTTTGCCTTTTAAAAATATTCTGTTTCTTCTTGACAATCCAACTTTAAGAGAGTCACATGGTAGATAGCAGGAATGATGCAAGCTGACAAGTGATTTGCAGTAACCATGTTTGGTTTAGCTCCTGGTTCAGTGTCAGAACAAACTCAAGGATTGTGGAATGCCTACTGGAACTGAACTGTTTTGGTTCTGCTTCACTAGTATTGTGAAGGGCTATACCAAAAAGTCCTGAATTATCAAGTTTATATATGTTTCCAGCTGTATGAAAACCCACTGAAGCCATTTGGTTTCAATTTTCCATCTGAAAAGCCTTTCTTTGTGCAATAAACAGCAACAACACTCAATAATGAGCAGAGTCTTAATCTGTCATGGCCTGTTCTGGTTTTAACTTCGGAAGCTTCTCCGAATTACACGTTTAAGTGTAAGATCAAGCCAAAATTCAAGCGAAGGGATTCAGCAATTATGAACTAACAAGCAAATCAGTATTTCAAAGTATCACTAAACCTGCTGTGGTCGAATGCAACTTAAAACATAATTCCCCATATGCTATAGGAAATATTTTTCCAGTGCTTCAGTTAGTTGCAGAACACCAGAAAAGTCCTTCAGTATGTTCAACTTTTTATAATGAAAAGGTCTCACTTGTCCAAAATCTTCAAGGAAACACAGAATTCAGGCTGTCGAGCTTCCCCCTACCCAAGCTTTCATTACTCTAGTTAAATGCTATGAAAATACTAGCAAAAGAAAGAAGGAACACCACTGGATTGGACTCATGGAAAAGGTAAGTAAAGCACAGGGCCATAACTCTGCTAATTGGATATCAGTGACTTAAATCAGAGACAAAATGGTACCCAGAATGTCAGAAATAACTGTCAGACAGTGAAAGACATTTTGGTTACGAAGATGATTTACATAGCTTCCCTTAATTTCTAGAAGTCTTTAACAGTAAGTAGACGAATAATATTTTTGATGCTTTCATATCTCCAAATAGTTTCAATTACACAGAACTTGACAGAGCTCTCATAGTTAAGATATGAACAACAACGTGAAGTTTCATATAGTGAGAACCAATTTAAAGCAATGGTGTAATTTTAAGGCAGAAGCGTAGGTGAAGCATTAGCATATCAGAAATCTTACATGCAAGTAAAGCTCCTTTCTTACATACTTCATACTTACAGGTAGGTTTTAGTCAGCAATAAGAGAAAAAAGGCAGTGGTGGGCATTTACATTTTTAGATCTAAAGTAATTTATATCCCTATTTTATGCTGTTCAAACACAAATCAAACAATTTCCTGTGGCTCAAACTGTCACAGTGCTTCCATCCAACTGCATGGGTGGTAACATGCGGTTGCTGGGGCAGGCTGACTGTAGAACTTGGAGTCATGTTCCATGGGACCACCAAAGCTCCTTGGCTTCTCCAGTCCCCTTCCACCCCTCCCTTCAAGTGAGAGAAAGACATGAGTCTTCCCAAACTGTAATACCTCAACTATTAGCAGGCTATTATTCCTCCACAGTAGTTATGTAAATCCAACTAGAAGGCTGTATGCATTTGCTGGGAACAAAAACAATGGTTGCTTTCATTTCAGGACTGGTTCAAAGTCCTGAACCAGGGCTCCAAAATTACATACGCCTTCCAGTAAAAACCAGGTAACTCAAACACCTTATTCTCTGTTTTGAATTCTAATAAATATTTTCACTGATAGAAAACTAACATAGCAAAAGGCATACTGCCTTTCATCCAGTACTACAGAAATCTGCACACACCACCATGGAAAAATTAGCTGTAGAGAATTAAGATTTTTGTTTGAGAATGAGTATGTGATTGCAAGTCATTCTTATGGAGAAATGGAGACAAATAGTTACAGAAATCATTTTGAGGCGTCTAGCTTGCAACTGTGACCCAATTTCTAGATTTGCTGCAGAAATGGGGCTTCACCATTTCACAAACCACTTTGGTACACTGAATCAAACCGGGCTCACCTTTTAGAGAACCAATTTTTAATTCAGCAAAAACTCCCAAGTTCCAGCCGAGATGCACCAATACTGGTGAACAGTGGTCAGCAACCATTTTGAAATAAATAAAACAGTTATTTCTAGCTTAACATGCTCTGCAAATAACCTCACAAAAATATAATGTTTGAGATACAAGTTTCCTCTCATTCTGTTATCTCCTGTTCAGGAGAAGATGAGGGAATTTCCTTAGAACACATGCTTCCTACTGGGTTAGTGTGTTACCACTCAAAACTTAAGGTTTACATTTACAAGTGAAAAAAATTACCAAAATCTCAACTCCTGCCAAGTCGCAAGGATCTCATAACTGGTGTTTTATACAGGGCATGTTTTTCTTTTATTTCTTGGTTGTAGGGGAGTTTCCTGCTTCCCACTCGAAATGACAGTGCATGATACAATCCACTGTTCACAAGCTCTTGATTATTCTGGGAATAATACATATACTAATATGTTTTGGACAGATAGACTGCTACTCTCAACACACAAATGTGAGGGATGACACAGAGCTATACCATCACTTCTCTTGCTCAGAGTATTTAATGGACTCACTACACTGTCTTCCTGCCCAACGATCCAAATACAGCCAGCAACTGGTTAAGAATCAGTTCCATTTACGTTAGTACCTCAGGAAGCAATGACGTCGTTAGGATTTGGACATTTTTAAGACTCAGCTTGACAAAGGCCTGAACAACCTAGTCTGAATTCAGTGCTGACCCAGTTATAGGCGGGGCAGGGCTGGACTAAGTGACCTTCAGAATTCCTTTCCATCCTGGATTTAGCTAGTTTGTCTGTAGTCTGGAGAAATCCTGACAGCAAACAACTGTACAGCTACCGAGTTATTTATCTGTACTGTTGGAATTATACCAAGGCACAAGTGTAATACCAAAGTGTTCAAATTACTTAACTGGAAGAAATAGTTATTCCCTACAGGAAGGCTTTAGCTAAAACTGATAACTGGGTTTGGTTTACAAGCTGCCACTTGGCCACAGAAAGTGTATGTACAGTTTTACTTGAAAACTTTTTAAAACAGATGAGGTAAGCAGCAGTAGATAGGGTTTTACCTGAAAGGTGTGGTTGCAGGGCTTTGGCAGCAATACCAAGTAATTCCTACTTTTCCCCATCCTTGCTTCTCCCACCCCATACTCCCATCCTCCTGATTTGCATCAGTACCATGTTTAGCAGGGAACAACAGACCATGTTTAAGCACTCCCTTGGCAAGGGATAGGGGAAGTTAACTTGATATAGTTTAATGTATGAAATCCTACTTTGTAGCACCAAAGTGCTGCATAAGCAAAATGAAAGGTAGAATGTGCTAGGAATAGGGCGCATTGGCGGGGGGCTGGGTAGACGGCATGGAGAAAGAAATTCTTCTGGTGCAGCATTAAAGTTCCAGTCTCATCAGATCATAGCATGAGTTTGAAACATTGAGGTGCTGCTTCATGCTTTTACCTTAAGCAGCCTTTTTCCAACAGGAAAAGTTTGGAAGGTATTCTACTGGCTACCATAATTTCAATATACAATGAGTTAAGGAGTGACAAGTTTAGCTAAAGAAACTTGGGGAGTAAAGGTTTTTATTTTTCAACAGCAAGTGACTTCTGCTTCTTCTGAAATTGCATCTGATTTTCTCCCCCCCACACACCTTTTTTATGAAGGGAAGAAGTTAGTCCCATAACCCAGCCATGCTTACATTTATTTCTAGTGATGGTGTCATAAATCTACTCTGGCTTAATAATCTAAGGGACAAATACACATCTACATCTATATCCACCTCAGTTCTTCTAAGAGCATAATTACAGATAGAAAAGCTCTGAATTGGTATTTAGAGAGGTGATGAGTCTTCCAAGAAATTGGTGGCTTACAGGTAGGTACCTAGTTCACCGAGCAAGTCCCTTACATTACCAAGGCTCAAGTCAGAGAATAGCCTATATCCACTTTCTTTGAGGGACTCATCCCATAAGGGACTACACATACAGATTTTATCACACTTCACCCCTGTATATAATTAAGAGGAGTACTTTGGACTGTTTTATAATCTTAGATTGAGTGGGTTAAAAAAAAAAGAACAGGTTTTACTGGGTATAGCTGGGTGTGCACACTTACCAAATTACAGTGTATTGTAGTGTAGTCATTTATAGCCAGGCTGCCTTTGCAATTAGCTATACTGCCACACTTGGTTAAAAAAAGCACATAACCTGCAAGAGCATTTCTGAATCTCTACAATACAATTACAGAATGTAGTTTCCAGTCACCAGACAGCAGCCTACAGACTAGATGTGAAATCTACCCCCCCCTTAGTATTAATCAGTCCGAGCTTAATTAGCAGCTCAAGCAGTAGTCTCTCCTTCAACTATGTTCTCCCCTTTCTAGAAACTATAGAGCTATACTAAAATTAGGTTGAATAAAATATGTTATTCCTGTTGGGATAGCGTATAGTTGCTCATCGTAAATGCTTTGTACCTGAGCTTTGCAGTTTCTCCTCTTCACTTTTACATTTTTCAAGTAATTGTAGTTTTAATTCTGCAAAGTACTGTCATATAACCAAACTATAAATAATAATATTTAAATATTTTTTTCTTCTAACACCACCACACCCTCCTAAACACATTCCTTATAAGAGGAGATTTTACAATAACGAGGTGTAACCTGTCTCCCCCCCCATTGTACTAGCAATTTGTAATTTAGATAGAATCATATTTAGCATCAAAAATACAGCTCTGTACCATCCTAAAAGTTCTGTCAGAATGTACATTAAATATGGTATCTTAATTTTAAGAAACTGGTTAAGTGGTAGTATTCCAGTGAAAAATTCTCTTACCAGAGCTTGATGACAGAACAGCTCCTTTGTGGGAAGGTGCTTTAATTGTGCTGATAGTTTTATTTTCACACCCTCTCTTCAAGGGCAACACAGGTGGAACCATTTTAACCTTGGGAGCTGATACACTTCGTAGAGTGATTGGGCCTTTCTTCAGTATGTTTCTCCCTTGTGTTGTCCCATCTTTCACAGAAGGCATCTGTTTTTTAAAAAACAAAAACAAACAAAAAACAACCAGAAAAAAACCAACCAAACAAAACCAAAAAAAACCCAAACAACCACACACCACCACTCTGAGAAGCTGACGATCTCCCTTTCCAGCATCTGTAATGAAATACTGCCCACACAGGTAAGGGATATGCTTAGCTGTTCACTGTCATATTGTTCACATTTGCAGTTCAGAACCTCAATAATCATCTCCTGAATGGCCTTCAGCAACACGAAACTATTAGTTTGAAGCTAATCACTGGTAATGACAAACACTAAAGAGGTTACAGAGGTCATTTTACATCAGGATTTCTTCCTCTTCCTCCCCAAACTCTAATTAAGCCATTCAATTACATGACTGCACCTAATCTCAAGACAAATTCTTTACCAAGCAACTACACAAGTTAGTTGTCCTGTACCACCTGAAACATCACAGCCCTTACAATGGGTTTCCTGGTCTAGGTCTTACATTACAGCACAGAAACAGGTTAAAATCTTTCATATTCAGGTGCCATAGATAAAAGAAATTCAGGAGTAAACCCAGGACAGGTTTAAAATAACTGGTTTATATGTAGCACTCATCAACCTTTCATACAGAATTCTTGATCCAGTTTATGTAGACACTAATTCATGACCACTCATGCTGTAAAGTTAAGCTTATGAAGGTAAACTCATAAGAATGTACAGCTCTTCACATGCTTTTCTGTAACTCAAGCCGATATGCAGCAATTTGGTCATATTGATGCACTTTGTACTTTTGACTCCAATCCTCATCTTCATTTTCAGAAGTTCACCTGTACTTTTCAGAAGACCGCTTGTTTATATCTGATTGGTCTACTCCACATTTTACAGAATTTGCTCTATTGATTTTCCAGGTACCAGCAGAACAATTACTATCACAAAGGTTTCCATCTTGGCAGCAGGGTGAATTAAAAGCATTCTCTCCAAACCTCAGCAGCAACAGAAAGGACTGAAGCAGAATCCAAGCTCTGAAAGACTTTAGAACTAAAATAGACCATCCTTGCTTTCATGTTCATTTCGGTTTTCAAGTTAAATTATTTATCATAATAAATAATGTTATGTACTAATTTCTTGTGTAATGTTTCAAAAATGAATAGCTGCTTCTGTTTTGCCTTAAGTAGCTCCCTCTGTATACTGAGCTTTACTGGAGCTTTTCTGGCCAATCAGTAAAGCCCAACAAAAATTCAGACAACGCCAGTTTTACCGGTAAGAGCTGCTGCCTCCATTTCACCAATTTAACATAAGCTATTGAACCCACAAATGAACAACAGGTGGGACTCTATATAGCATCAAGACCCCATCTCTGTGTCCCTACCATGCCTCCTGAGATCTTGGTCGGCCCAACCCCAAAGCTCTTCCCTCTTTTCCGCACCGTTCCTTTTCTTTTAACCTTCTTTCAGAGTGTTTGAAAGCAGCACATTTCTCCTGACAGGCAGCTGACTCATCTGAAAATATTTCCCAACCAACCAGCGCACGCATACCTCCCGGCCAGGAAGTTTGCACCTTCCAGCTGGCTGACTGCCCAAAACCAGGTATATGCCCTCCGCATGGGAAATATTTCCTGGCTACTCTTAACTACTCTAATGAGTCCCAGTTCTACTTCAAATAAACAAACTCCCAAATTATTCAAAGCAGACAGTTAAATTAAGATGTTAAAAATAAAATGCTTGACCAACTTGTTCATCTTTGAGTTTTGTGCCATTTAATAATATTGTTAATATATGCACAACATTTCTGTAAGTAAATTTTTAAAAGTGTAATTTAGTTCTAAAGCATGTTTTGAAAGAAAAGAAAATACTGAACACAGCAATTTACCTCTAATGTCTATTTAAAGTTACAGCACCACTAGAATTATCTTGATAAAAGCACATATTAAAGCTATATTTAGAATAGCTTCACCAAGTTACGTTATGCAATTTTACCAGTTTGACTAAATTAGGACTTGTTTGCTTTTATTAGAAATCTTACCAAATGTATTGTCTTAAAAAGACTTTACAAAAAAATTTTTTAGACCATGGAGTAAGATGAAGGCTGAAGATATTAAATTGCACTTGAGGCCAAGTGCGACCAGTCTGCAAAACAGTATTTCTTCACTCCCTTTATTAGGGAGAGACTTCACCTCAGAAATCAACACTACAGTTACATTTGTAGACACAAAACCCACTCCCTAATTTCCATTCAACACTTTGCAATGCAGAAGTCCCTTTTTCCAAATGTACAAAACATAATTAAGTATGGAAAGAAGAAAAGCTTACCAGAGGAACAGAGTGCAGGTCAAATGTTTCATTTGCCACATCTTTTATCAAGGCTGCTTCCACAGGAATTCCCATATTGCTGCTTTGCTCCTTTTCATCTCCAGTCGGGTAGATGTTTTGAGCACAGGGCTGCATTAAAGAGTTTGAACCTTCCATTTTCTCATTCAGCATCTCCTCTGAGTTCTCTACACACATTGGAAGCGCAGCAGAAACCAAGGAGCATGCCGAATGGGTAGAGCTTTCTTTGCCAACGTCTTCCGGATTCTGCTTTAATGCAGGTGTCTTTGAAGCCTTGTGGGAAGCGTTTCTGGGATGTGTTGTGGCATGTACGACTTGGCTAGTGAAGAGGTGTTTGTTAAGATGTAGCTTATGGGGCTTATGCACAGGCAATTCCACTTTAGTATCTTTAGCTAGATCCATTTTCTTTTTCAACACTTTTACAGAGGGGGACAACTGCCTTGGGGAAGCAACCAGTGAAGATGAGACAGCTGATAGTTGGGGAGACTGGGGAGACCGTTTTAATGCTGCACTGTCTCTTGACTGTAGCACAGGTCTAGAAATAACCTTTGGCTTAACGTTTTTGAAATTAGGTTTGGGAAAACTAACAATCTCAGATTTCTTCGCTTTGGTAATTGTTGACACAATAGGAGACCTGCCCACTGGTTTTCCTGCAGTTTGACCTGAACTAGCTTTAAGCGAAGGCCTTTTATTATGTCCTCCTACAAACACATCTTTTGGTCTTGGTTTAGGAGACTTGCCTCCAAGTTCTGCCAAAGCTGAAACAGAAAAAGTTGTATTTTGTGACCGTTCTTTAGGGGTTGAAGTACATAGAACAGAATCGCTTTCATCAGCCATAGGACTGAAGACCACAAAAGTTGCTTCGCATTTCAGGTCAGGCATAACAGTCCTCTTTAATCTTGGTACACTGCAAGATATGAAAGTGGTGTTGTGCATATCCTGAAGAGCAGCATTTCCAGAGATACTTTGTTCTTTGGTTAAGGGTTCACTGGTTTTCTTTGATACTTGTTCTCCATCCATTTTATCTACTGGGAGAAGGTGCACATTATTTACAGGACTATCCACGCATGTTTCAACATTGGAATTAGCAGTTTCATCATAGTCAGCGGCATCCTGCAAGGATTTCACTTGGTGACCTTCATTAATATTAATGCATAGTGATAATGCATCTCTCCTGTAAGGATCCATACATCCAGCAGCTAGTTTTACAGACTGTGCTTCTGTTTCCTGTGATTCTTTATCAGTCTTGTTAGTGTTTTTTAGATAGTGTTCGACACCTGCAGAGGCAGGATGACATACTTCAAGTTCCGAATAGGCATCTGGACTTTCTGAAGCCACTATCATAGTGGAGAAATTAGGTATTCTTTCTGAGCTGGTTCCATCAAATTTCTCTCTGGTACATAATTCAGAAGAGATTAGCATTTCCCTCAGATGCATGTCATCATTTTGATCAGTTCCCAGAGTTTCACCTATGACATTAGTAACAGCCAATGTGCTCAGGTGGCAGCATGCCCTGTCATTTATCAGGGAGTGTGTGTTCTGCTCTGAAGCAGGAAGAGGTAATACACATTTAGAGTCAGTCTGACTACAAGGCACTGATTGTTTGAAACTCTGATCTTGCATTTTTGCCATAGCAACGTTACCTTTCAGTAATTCTGTTGTTTCTTTCAAGTCACAGTTCAAAGCATATACACAAGTCTGTTCAGTCACAGAAGACTTGCATGGAGCATCTGCATCTCCCAACAGAGCTCCTGTGCAGTTGTATTTACCAGGTGCCTTCTGCAGATTAAGTGCTTCAATACACTGCTGTTTTAAAAAAGTACTTCTGAAGTCAATTTTCTTTTCAAGAATGGTATCATCTTCATGTTCAGTCACTATACCTTGGTCAGTTGAATTACCATATATCTTGGTGGCACAACTCTTTGTGGAAGGTGTAGCTCTGTCACATGCGTAGTTATTTCTATTTTCATCCCTTATAAGTAAGGAAGACTTCAAGCCATTCTTTGCTTTGTCGTCTGACTTTTCAACATTCATTTTGAAGGCTAAATTTTAACCTGTTTTCATTTTATACTTTTTTAAAATCTCAGAGAATGCAGATTCTTCTGAACTTTGCAGAAAACAGCTTTTCCCTGGAATGTGTCAACTGTCCTGAAAAATATTTAAAAAGTAGTTCTTTGTTTTCATGTTTCCCAAGAGGATTCAAAAGTTCTGGAATTAAAAATAAATTAAAAACAATTAGCCAAAACAGGATTTTAAGACAGTAAGCATTCTTAAGCTATCAGTCTTTGAATCAAGTGCAGCCATTTTGACCAACTTCCTTAAGCAAATTAGGCTTTTACAATGATGCCATCCATGCATGCTTACCTTCACAAGCCATTTCCGCCTCCCAGACTGCCAAGCAACTTTTGAACCCTTTGGTCAGTTGCAACTAAGTGTGACTTTAGGTTTTCATTTTCAGATACCTGGCTTGCTTGGCTTCCAGGCAAGCAAAGGAAAAACCCAAAAGATTTGGCTCAACAGGAAAAAGGTATCCGAGGGACAACATGATAGAATGAACCATCATTTTTCCCTCTTCCAATAGCAGGTACCCAACAAAAGGGCATGGTTCCTCACACAGTGTGTAGTGAAGCTATGAAGCTTCTTACTGCACGGTGCTTGCAAGCCAAAAGCTTACACAGACTTAAACACAAGCGGCTAAGAGCCATGTAAGAAAAATCTGTCCAAAACTGAGTACCAAACTGACTCAAGAATCTCTCAGTCACAAGTCGCAAGCAGCTAGGAGAACTCTAGGGAAGAATCACTACACACTCATCCTGTTATTATACTCTTCACTCAGCATTTAGCCCTGGTTACTGCTGGAAACGGGACACAGCATTAGGTGGATCTTTAGTCTGACCATATCTGGTCACACCTATGTTCTTATGTACAAGTTTGCATGAAGAGAGGAAATTGAGAGAGATCTAAATTGTAATAATGATGAAATGCTACTGTATAAGCTCAGGTCTAGAACAGACACCAGAGCAGCAACATAGGAACAACCCCTAAGAATCCCAGTGAAGAAAAGCTTCAGTGTTCATCCCTTGATGCACATAGCGAAGAGCATTAACAACGCCATACAGAAGTTTTTCTCTGCACTGAAGGCCTCCTTCCTGCCTTTCAAGGAAGCAATGCACATCAGAGGCAGCTCAAGATCTTCAAAGAGTTGTCTTAAAGACATCTGACCTGAAATAAAGAGAAGACGGGGAGGTTCATAATCAGCTCTGGGGTTACAGCAGTACACTACTCCAGTGCTGCTGGGGTAGCCAACAGATAGATGCATGAGACCCCTTCAGAGTCACTGGAGAGCAATTCCTTACACAGCAACAGCCTCCGTCTTCTATAAAGATGACACAAGATTAGCCAAGTGGGGAAACAATTGCAGCACCATCTCCAGCAGAGCAGAGCCACGTATCCTCACCCAAAACCCTACAGAAGCAGAAGAGGATGGAGAAACAACCAAAAAACTAAAGAAAAGGCCTTGCGACGTATAAGGACAAGTTCCTAGCAAGCACTAAGACTGCACCCAGGTACCAAAACCACAAGGACATGAACGAGAAAACATCCAAACTGTCCAAAGCAGCTGGATGACCCCCATAGCACAACTCCATATGAAAGGCTCCTAGTACCAGAAATGAGACCAGACGTAGGAAGAACTTCAGGTTTATAAGATGTGGTTGCAGTGGGGTGGAGGATCTGGTGGGAAGAAGGGTCACTTTCAGAGCAGTGAAGTCTAAATGGGGAGGGACAGAGGTCACTGGATCGAACAAGGGAATCGGGCTGAAGATGCGTTCATTGACAAAGGTCAACTTCCCAACCAAAGAACAGGGAAATTGGACAGGTGTTGAACACCATCACACATCTGGAATGACAAATTCCACTCTCCAATCAAAGAACAGGAAGGAGGAGAATACTTGCCATCAAAAACAATGAGCAAACAGGTCAGTGGTGTTTAACCAAAATGCAGACACCAGAGCATGGTATCCTCAAGTGAGGATACTGATATAATGACAAATTTGAAATCTGGTAGGAAGAAAGCAGCAAGACATGAACATCAGGATTAAGTATACAGGGTGGACAGAAAAAATGTACACTAATGTGAGAATTACATTAAAGTCTGAAATTATTTGACTGTAAGTTAACCACAATGACTAGCAGAGTCCCTACAGACTGAAAATCCAGAGATAACAGAAAAACCGAATATTTGATCTGCACTATTGACCATCTCAACTAGGGTGACAATACTGGTTGCAATATACTGAGACAGGTCAACAACAAGAACAACAACAACAACAACAAGAACAACAACAACAACAACAAGAACAACAACAAGAACAACAACAACAAGAACAAGAACAACAACAACGGGAGACTTCTGCTATCTTGATGTTGATTAGGCACATTGAAGAATAATTCTCTGGTCATATTTTTGTACAGGAATCGATGCCTGCTTTGGGAAACAAGTTTGCCATGAGAAGAGAACCAACTCTTGATTTGTTCTCCAATGAAGAAATTTAAATCCTCACAGAAACTACATAAACCATTTTGGAAACCACAGCAGGGGAAAGAAAACAAGCTCTTATCAGCAAATACTTTGGAAAGTGTAAAATAAAGCCAGCACACTAAGTAGTGACAGGTTAAGTTGCTAAAAGCAAGAATGCATAATTCAAAAAGCTGACATTTTTCCTTAACCCTTATTTTCATCAGCTGGAAACACAGCTTGAATAATTATGTTCAAAATAAATCCTTTTTAATATCAATGAAAAGTATAAAGCTTTCCAGACAGCCTGTAGGGCCCGTAAACAGTTTTGAGTACAAAAGCAGCACTCAAATTAAGACCATTCTAGAACTGCAGGAATTTGCATGCTCACTGTGGACCAAACAGAGTGGCTTCTGGCCCACCACCTTGTCTTTATGTGGGACTTTAAGCATCTGTCTCGCACTGAGGGTAAAAAGACCATGGAACAAGGAAACAACAAGCTACTGAGATCAGACAGCATCCTCCTCTGTCCCCCCCTTCCTCCCCCAAGATGAAATGGCTTAACTAGCTTAAAATCTCCTCTTTCCTTAAACTGGTCTAGATCCTTTGCCTACATACTATTATTCAATCCCTATAGAAGCATGAACAATTTCAGTACCCTCATTTACATCTTCCATTAGGAAACCTAAGGCAGATTCAAGAGTTCTTCCAAAAAAGTCCTCCCTGAAGGCAGGGCAAGAACCTGTCCTGAATAATTTTCCATTCATTTAAGTCAATCACAGAATCAACTGCTGAAAAATATTTGCAAACTTTGCTTTCACTGTTGTTTTGACACATTAAAACTAGTTTCTACTTGTCTGGAGACTAGCCCATTACACAGCTTGCTCACCTAGTCATGCAACAAAAAGTTAAGATTCCATTTTGATCCATCATTAGCTCAGATCCAACCAGCAGTCTTGCCTCTTTCAAGAGCTTTCTTACTACAGAAAACAGGAAACTTCAATATGCCAAGACTTCGCAAGACTGAGATCCCAAGAATTTAAAGAATGACATGCTAGCTTACAGTATGCATAGATAGTAATGCCAAAATTTGAAACAGCACAGGCAGCTAAGTAAACCTTGATCCAATCGATGCTGAAAAAGCTCCAAGAAAAATAAAAGTATTTTTGAGACTGAGTAGAGAAATGAGGAAGTGTGTTAGAGTTGCATATACAAATGTGCACAAGTATGTGTAGAAGTCTGCTCATGCGGTGCTCTGGACTTCCGCATAACCAAAGAATATACAGTAATAAACCACTGATTCAACTATTTTTAAAGCAAATTTTCACTTTAGTAATCAATACTTTCATGAGCAACTAGACCAGCTTCAACCACAGCTTCATATCCACATTTAGAGTCCTAAAAGTGTCCTGCATAAAAAGTGAGGTATTCCTAAGGATTAACTATAGTGTATAAAAATCTGTAACCTAGATGAACATTAGTCCTTAAAAAAATTGACATTCTGTAACTCTGCAGGTACTAATATGTTTGTCAGGCTTATAAGAACGCTTCCTGGCAATGAAAAATTCTTTAGATTTAAGATCTGCCATAGGAGGCCGAATGAAAAATTAACTTCAGCCAGCATATCCTTCATAGTAGTGACCAGTAGCAGATACACAGACACAACAGTTACCCTTCCCAAGAACATTCCTTCCCAAGAATACACTGTTCCTGGCAACTAATGACTTGGGGTATTCTAAACTAAATACTACTAATAAACTCGCTTGGAGTTTGTCTTGCATCAACAAGCATGATGCATGCCTGGCCTCCACAACACCCTACAGCGCAGCGCGGAAGAGTTCAGTTGTTTTGTACCTTCGGTAAACCTCAATTTGCCAAATTTCAGTTGTATATTTCAAGTGCTTACACATTGCAAAAAAAGTCTTACTTATCAGAGCTCTAAGCTTTCCCCTTCCTCAAGAGATATAAGAGCTTGGGGTAACAGGAGTATCACTTTGAAAAAAAGGGAAAGGAGCTTGGCAAGCAGATTCCCCTAAAAGAAGATCAGCTGCCAGCAGCCCCAGATCCAGGAAAAACACACTACACTACACTACACAGAACTGGGCTCAGAGCAAGATCTTGTCACTTCTACTAACCTACAAGGCGGGTCTGGGGTTGTTCTGTAAGAGGGCAGAGGGACAGTGACTCATTCAATACTGGGTAAATAGGAATCAAAACCATATCAATTACAATAAATAATTCAACCTACAAGTTTACAAATCACTACAAACATGCAAGTCAGTTTGTGTTAGTGTCACAACACAGACAGTAATAATTTACACTTTTCCTGGTATTCCACCTGGAACTCTGTTCTTTCACCCCCACCATCACACAGCATTTACTCAAACCCAGCTACGGGTTTGTGCAGCCTGTATGAAGGGGGGTGGGGAATAAATCTGGAAGGAGAGGGTGTACCCAGACATGCAGGAAGGCAGTCTAGAAGTGCTCTAATCAACTAAACATGCTTTGATACCAGACA